GAAATGTTTAAGTTGTATCTTTCTAATTACATTTACTTTGGAATGTTTTCATGTGGTATGTTTTGTCATTTCTTATATTGGATCATTATCTACTTTTGGGGTTATAAGCATATCTGCTCCCTTTGGTTGATGTGTACCATCCTTAGATTAAATGTGAATAATCTTGGAGATTTTTGGTATTTCTTTACTCTCTCAAGCATTATGTTAAGATCTATATTAAAATGGTATTTCATTTACATTAATACTATTCCGTACTATTTGTAGCTTGCATGATGAACATAGCTTGTTCGCAATTACTTTAAAAATAGACATGGGAAAGGCTGAAGCGGACACTTCTTGTGAGTACAAAATTTCTATAGCTAATTTTTGTTCAATATTTTGTAATAGCTGTAGATTCAAACTGCAGCATTTTTATATCGTGCTGGATCCATCTCCACGGCATCGCTTTACTCGTGTAGACTTTATATCATAATAAAATTAATTTTACTATTCTATTCTTAATTTCATGTTATGCATCTCAAAATAAGTAAATCAATAAATATTCACGAATATAATAACTGCATAAAAAATATGAGATAAAATATCTAGATAAAATCTTCTTAATATATAGAAGATTAGTTGAAATGTCATGGAAAATTTGTTAAATACCTGTAAAATAGAAGTTAAATATAACTAAACTATTAAAAAATTTAACTAAATTATTCAAAATGTTTAAATATAAGTATTTTATTTAAAAAAAAAATCACTGAGAGTTTATACGGCTGTGAACTATGCTTGTAAAAACATGAATTTAAAAAATCCTGAGATAAATCTTATTAGAAAGATGCTGCCAAATACCATCTAAAAGAAACAGAGAGATAAGGTTCTAATAATCTCATAGAATAAAAAGAAAAGGAGAAACCGTAACTTGATACGTTAAACAGAGGTGAAAAGATAAGTTTTTTACTAAGACTGATAAAAATGAAATTTTTTTATTCTCTTTTGTAGGAAGATAAGGTTTTTCACAGATGACTTGCTTTTATTTAAGATTTTAAATAGATATTACCGTTATATCTTAAATAACGTGTATCTGCAGCTTAAAATTCTAGCTTTGCATATTATTTTAATTTCCTGTGCTCCCACTTAAAAGATAACTTTTTTATACCTCTTTTAAGCTCTATATATCATAAAACGATATATGTAAATCAGCAACATTTAACATTTTTATATTGAGGAGACCTAAGAAGTGCTGATTACTGAAAAATAACGAAAAAAAGTAATAATTAAAAATAAAAAAAATAAATTCCCTACTTAAATTTCAAGATAATAATACAATAAATATCTTGCCAGTCCAATGTAAAAATGAAAAAAAAAAAAAAAACATTTCTGTTCATGCCTAGGAAAAATTCTCAAAATCATTAAAATGAATGATCATTATATAACATAGTTAACAAAATAGAATTATGATGCAAGACTAAAACTGATCAACGCGGAAAAAGTAGAGAAAATGAGAAGAAAAAGAAAAAGTAAAAGCAAAGGAATAGAAATGTAAATCACGCTGAAGAAAGCTTTAATCGTCTTGTCACCATCTCATTTGCTTTTGCCCGCAAAACCCTCGAAAAATATAAAATCAAGTTACTCTCTCTCTCTCTCTCTCTCTCTCTCTCTCTCTCTCTCTCTCTCATTAAAACAGAAGAGAAGAGAACCGCAAACCATTGGTAAAACCAGCAAATATCTAAAGCCCAAAGGAGGCGCAGGAGGAAGCT